GTACTTGTCTTTTTGTGACTGGCTCATTCACTCAGCACAGCGTCTTCAAGGCTCAGCCACATTGCCCCGTGTAATAGTTTCTCCTGCCTCTTAAAGGCTGAGTAATATTCTACTGCATGTAAACACATAGTCTGCGTCTCCATTCATCCACTGATGGACACCTGGGTTCCTTCCACGTTTTAATGCTTCTGAATAATGCTGCTGTGAATCTGGGTGTAAGGAATATCTCTTTGAGACCCTGTTTCAGTCCTTTTGAATATATACCCAAGAGTGGAATTGCTGGATCATATGGTAATTTTACGTTCAACTGTCAGAGGAATCACCATTCAGTTTCCCACAGTGGCTGTGCCACCTTACGTGCCCATCAGCAGTGCGCAAGGACTCCAGTTTCTTCACATCCTCTCCGACACTGTTATTTTCCGTTTTTCTTTTGTGTTTTGAAAGTAGTCATCCTAATGGGTGTGACTGGCATCTTATTGTAGTTTTGATTTGCGTTTCCCTAATAATTAGTGATGTTGAGTACCTTTTCATGTGCTTAATGGCTTCATGTGCTTAATCTGTATGTCTTTTTTGGAGAAATATTCCTTCAAGTCCTTTGCCTATTTTTAAACTGAGTCTTTGTTGTTGTTGAGTTGTGGTAGTTCGTTATATATTCTGGATATTGACTCCTTGCTGGGTGTGTGATTTGTGAATATTTTCTCCCATTCTGTAGCCTTTCTATTTACTCTCTTGATAGTGTCCTTTGATGTACAAAAATTTTATATTTTGATGAAGTCCAATTTTTGTATTTTTTTCTTTTATTGCTCATGCTTTTGATATCATTTCCAAGAAATCCTTGCCAAGCCCAATGTCATGAAGATTTTCTCCTGTATTTTCTTCTAAGAGTTTTATAGTTTAAGGTCTTACATTTAGATCTTTGATCCATTTTGAGTTGCTTCTTGTATTGTATATTGTATAAGGGTTCAGCTTCATTTTTTTGCATATCAGTGTCCAGCTTTTCCAGCGAAGTTTGGTGAGCAGACTCTCTCCCCCGTTGAATGGCCTTGGCACTCTTGTTGAAATCAGCTGACTGTGTATGTGAAGATTTGTTTCGAGGGTATTAGTCTACTGCTCTGGCTATTCAGGATCCCTTGAAATTCCACGTGAGTTCTAGGATGAGTTTTTTTATTTCTGCAAAAAATGTCATCGGAAATTTGATAGGGATTGCACTGAATCTGTAGGTTGCTTTTGGTAGTATTGATGTCTTAAAAATATTGTTTTCCAATTCATGGACATGGAATGTCTTTCTGTATGTTTTGTGTTCTTTAATTTCCTTCAGCAGTGTTTTGCAGTTTTCAGTGTACAAATCTTTCATCTTTTTAGTTAATTTTATTCTTAGGTATTTTATTCTTTTTGATGCTATTGTAAATGGACTTAATTTTTTTTCCTTTTTTGATTGTTTTTTGTAAATGTATAGAATATAGCTTATTTGTGTGTGTGTGTGTGTGTGTGTGTATTGACTTTATATCCTGAAACTTATTGCTGAGTTCATTAGTTCTGGTAATTTTTGGTGGATTTTCTATAAATTTAAGGTTTGCTACATGTAGGATCTGTTGAAATTTTTATTGGAATTGCACTGAATTTATAGATTAATTTGAGGAATGGTGTTGAATTGTCTCATCTATTGATATGGTTCATTGCTATTATCCCTTTTTTCTTCAAGAATGTTTTGTGGCTTTTATTATCAAGGTATCAAACTTATTTTATTGAGTTTATTCCTAGATACCTTATAGATTTTATTGCTATTATAAACAATATTTTACGACAGCTTTATTAAGGTATACTTCACATACCATAAAATTCACACTTTTAAAGTACACAATTCCGTGGTTTTCAGTGTAGTCATGGTATTGTGCAACCCTCACCACTAATTTTAGAACATTTTCATTACCCTAGAAAGGAGTCCCATACTCGTTAGAAAGAGCTTTTAAAAATTGCATTTTCTACTTGTCAGTGAAAACAGTTTATTTTTAAATATTTGTTTGGTATTCTATAACCTTGCTGAACTTTCTACTTAGTTCTAATAATTTTTCTGTACTGAGCGTGCTTTTGGATTTTCTACATAGAAATTGCATGATCTGTGAATAAGACAGCTTGTTTCCTCCTTTCTGATCTTTATATATTTTATTTCTTTCCTTGTCTTTTTGCCTTGGCTAGGACTGCCGTATGTTACAGACGGTGCACTTCTGTTAGCACGGATTTTAAGAGCAAAGGCACTAATGGTTTTTAGTAGATACCTACTGTCAGTTTAAGGAATATTCTAGTCCTAATTCTTTTCATCATGAGCGACATCGAAACTTTATCAAATAATTTTTCTGAAATTTTTGACATGATTATGCAGTTTTTATTTTGGTTTCTAACGCAGTGGATTAGATCAATACTTGCTCTGCTACTGCACTGCCGCCACGTCCCTGTGACAGCCCAACTGACCATTATGTGCTCTCAGAATATGTACCTTTGAATTTGATTTACTCTAATATTTTGTTTAAGATTTGTGTTTATAATTGAGATGTGTGTAACCTTTTCCTGTCCTTTTCCAGTCTTGATGTCAAGACTGCCCCATCATAAAATGAGTTGTGAGTTTTTCTTACATATTTTATTCTCTGAAATAGTTTGTGTAACATAGAATTATCTGTGAATGTTCGTAGAACACACTTGTAATATTGACTGGGTCTGCCATTCTGGCAGAGAAAACCTGAATCCAAATTCTGTCTTGCAAATGATTTTGGCAGAAGTTCGAAGACACCCCCGAGACGCTGGCCGCCTGCCAGCGCACCTGCAGAGCCGTCTCTGTCTCCTTTCGAATGTGGGCAGAACTGTGGGCTTGACGAGAGGCCACCACGCCTGTGGGTAGTCTGTGAATCAGCTGACTCTGAGTTACCAAAAGGATGGGCCTTGTCAGGTGGTCCTTGTAAAGGAACCGGGCGCTTCCTAGAGTCAGAGATTTTAGAAGTGAGAGAGGGACGGCCGAGGGGCCTCTAGGAGCTAAGAGAAGCCCCCGTCTCACAGCAAGGCCACGGAACTCCATTCCTGCTGCGAGGAAATGGGCTTTGCAGACAACCTGAAGGGGCTGGAAAGCATCACTTTCCCTAGTTTAGCCTCCAGATGACCAAGCAGCTGGCTGTTTGTTACCTTGATCTCCACCTTTGAGACCCTAAGTAGGGAATTTAGCCACGATGTGCCCTGAATTCTGACCTGTAGAACTGTGAGCTAGTAAATGGCTGGTAAGTTTATATAGAGAAATGCAAATCAGAACTACAATGAGGTTTCACCCCATACCAGTCAGAATGGCCATCATTCAAAACTGCACAAATGGCAAAT